GTTTCCTGACCCCTGCTATATACCCTTCCCTGGGAGTCTTACTGAACTCTGTAGGACTGACTTCTGAGTAGACATGAATAGGATTGCACTGTAATTGTATTTCATTTGTGTCCTGAGCTTTCTGCATGGAGCTGAAAATGAAGTATATGAGTATCTTAGTTTCCATCCTGGAAAAAAGCTAGGTTCAGGCCTGGTTAGATGCTAAGGTATTGTTGCACCTTAAGCCCCAAAGATGCATTCCCTCAGAAGCAATATATATCTGTAAAATACAGAGATCGTTAAAGAAAAACATCACTGCCAACCTATTCGTTCACTACTAAAAGCAATATTTGCAGAACCCTGGTTTCTTTATAAACTACTAGAGTAGATTTAGACAGTTTACAATAGCCAGAAAAAAATTGTGCATTGTGAATGATTTTTTAACATTCTAAAAACAAATTGTGGCATTTTATTCAGCAGAAGGACTGGCATAAAGTGAGACAGTAAGGAACAGGAATGGGCAATACAGACACGGGCAGGCATGAATAAAGCAATATCTATTTTAAATATCTATTTTATCTATTTCTAGCAGTTCGAAAGCACCCCCGGGTGCAAGTAGATAAATAGGGACCGCTTTATAGCGGGAAGGTAAACGGCGTTTCCGTGTGCGGCTCTGGCTTGCCAGATGCAGCTTTGTCACGCTGGCCACGTGACCCGGAAGTGTCTCCGGACAGCGCTGGCCCCTGGCCTCTTGAGTGAGATGGGCGCACAACCCTAGAGTCTGTCAAGACTGGCCCGTACGGGCAGGGGTACCTTTACCTTTTATTTTAAATAAATAACTTTTTTGCTCACGGATGCTGTCACCAAACAAATTTTGTTCAAAAGGTGGGGAAGGGCTCCATGGCTACAAGAGATTTACAGGTAGAACTAGTAAATGCTTGAAGAACTATGTGGTTGTGGACCTACCTCCCAACCTATGCATGCTTCCATGGAAGTACTGAGTTCAATGGGACTTGCTCCCAACACTGAATGGCAGCCTGCTGGGTCTCTGGCTCCATAGTCAGAGTTTGAGGCTTTTCTACTGGGCTCCTGACATTTGAGTTTGAGGCCACAGCACCTACAGCTGAAGGGCAGGAACCTGCAGAACAGCAAAACTGGAGCCACAACCCTCACAAGCACCTTCCCTTGAGCCCAAGAATCACCATCCAATGGCACAGGAAGCATGCCAAGCAAGAAGGCACACTGAGAGTTGTCTGCAACCCGGGATGCTGGTCCATTAAGGGTCATCATCCTGCAAAGGGGCTTGGGGTGGACTGGAAGCAGAAGCTCACAAGGCTTCAGTTCACATCCAGTCTTCATTGGCTCACCTTGTTTGATAGGAGCTGTCCTTAGTGGTGTGAGTAGTGGTCACTTTGCCTGCAACGCTGGTGTGCCTCATGAGTGCTAGTCATGGCAAAATTATTACTGGTACATAGCCTTAGACTCTTGCAGGCTTAGCCAAGTATAAGAGAAGCGTGAGCTGCCTCTCCTGCTATTTGCTTCACCAACCCATTTCCACATTAGAATTTAAAACTGCTGACATGTAGCTGCATTTATTCTTCTGAAACAGCATGCAAACAACTTTGATTTGAAAACATGTCATGTATCACTCTGCTAGTGTAAATTGCCAAGGCTTTACAATTTACCATTCAACCAGAGTATAAAATTTGTCATAAAAAAGAGAGGAAGACCAGCTGTAAAAACATAGCATATCTCATCTATAAGTGGGAGCGTATGGCCCCTGCCCTGGCTGGCAACTATGAAAAGGTTGACATCAACAAAGCAATGTGAAATTATTAGCTAGTAGGTCACTAGGAACTGCTAAAGAAATAACATACTTTTCAACACAAGGACAAGAAAATCATGCAGTATGTTAAGGAAAATAAGTCTTGCAGATCAGACACTAATTATTTTCAGAGGTAATGCTGTACCTAGGCTGTAACACAGCATGTCCACTGAATGAACTGCTTTACAGTTGACATCGTAGATTCTGGCTATCATTAGAAAAACACAGGCGGGCTCAACAAAACTTTATAATTACATTATTTTAGTCAATTATGCAAAAGCAATCTCTCCAACATTTTTTCTGTCTTTGCCTCTGGAACTGAGGCAGAGGCAGAAAACCTTCCTGGGAATAGCAAAATGATGGACAAAGTGTTGGACAAGTGTTAAGACATTACTGACCCCCTAAAAAAAATCTAGAACTGAGGTGTGAACACAGTGACTTGGTTTGCATGTCACACTGAGCCAAACAAACCTTGGTTATAGTTTGCGGTTAGTCTGGATCAGGGCAGTCCAATTTTTGATACCAAGTGGGCCGCAAGAGTACTTCGACACGGAACTTGTGGGCCACACTGCTGCAATGTGGAATGTTTTCATTCAGAATTCTAGATGCTCCATTCCATCCCCCCACTTCTCACTATCAATTTTTCGGTTACCACCCCCCACTCTGACTGCAGATCAGCAAGTCCATGGCCACTAAGCATGCTCAATCCTCATTAGGTTGTATGGGGGAGAGGGTCCCCCCCCTCAAAGGGCTTTTGTTGTTTTTTTCTTTCACTTTTGCAAATTCCGAAGTGTACCAAATCAATACCTCTCTCCTTTATGTGGCTAGTGCCTAGATTTCAGCAACCAACAAAGTAAAACAAGCAGCACTGAGAGGGAAATCAGGTCCAGGTGACATTTTGGGTTGGTGAGAGGTAGGTATGGGTGAATCTGTCAATTCCAGTTTATTTTTGCAATCTTAAGTTCAGCTTTTCCAATTTCATTTTTTTAATTCACGGGAAATGTTGTATGTAATTTCCCCTAACATACATATTTTTCTACCCGCTTTTTGTCTAGTTTATGCATTTTTGCAAGCAATTTTTCTGTGACAGGATGCAACTGCCCACACAATTCTCCTTGCATCAAATTTCTCTTCTGTGAATATTCTTTACAGCCAAAGCCTATTTTAAAATAACACTCAGCAAACAAAGTTCCGATCAGCATATTAGCATTGAAAAGCCTTGCCGCAAAGCTACCCAAAACAGTATGTACATACTGCATGAATAGGGGAAATAAGAAACCATTCTTACTTGCAGTCCCGAGATGCTGCTGTTCTCTCTCCAGGTGCTTAGAAATTGCCCGTCCACTACCTGCTACTTGTCCCTCGCTGATCCTTGTCCCACGCTGTTCTATCTTTCTGTTTCTGCTCTTGGCTTTTACGTGTCCCTGCCTGACTGGGCATGGGAGCAATCAATACCCGATCAGCCAGTGAGGAACTGCCCATTAGGAGGGGCTCTGACCAGTTTAACTTGACTTTTTGGAGGGCAGTCCTACCTTGCGACCTGGCTGGCCAGGGGAATTCCTAAATGGCTGGCCCAGACCTGTATGCTCAGGGAATAATAATAATAATAATAATAATAATAATAATAATAATAATAATAATAATATCTTTATTGTCATTGCCCCCTCTCGGGGACAACGAAATTACTTTTTTTTCTTTTTTTTTTAATGGTGGCCAAACATGAGGGGCCACAACTGCTGCCCACCTGGGAAAGGGGTAAGCCATTCTGCACATATTATTTACAGCCAAAGCCTATTTAGAAACAACACTCACCCAGTATCCATTCCCTGTTCATATTTATTTCACCAGGCTGTCTGCTCATGGTGCTTTTCTGGAGCCCATTCTAACAAGACTGTCAGAGTCCAGGGACAGCTTCATTTAGCTTGACAATTATACTGACAGTCCGTATGTACAAATGTCTCACTCCTGATGTTCCAGGCAGGACCAGCTTCTCTGCGTTTCTTTCCCTTAGGGAGGGGAAAAAACTTGAAATAACCTTTAAAATAGAAACAAGTGATGCTAAATCCCTACCCCACATCCCTCAGCCGCTGACCTTAAAGTTTGAGTTCATTACTCACATCAAGTTTAAATTGCCATGGGTAGATCCTTTATTTATTATTTCCAAAATTATAAAGGCAACTGGCAGGCTTGCTTTACAAGTCATTCATTTCATTCGGCAGCAAAAACCCACATTATTTACATGAGCAACCAGCTCCAAAAGCTTGCTTTTTCCTTTATGCTGATGTACATTTAAACTATTTTAAGAGTGCAATTCAATTTAATTTATCTGTTAAGTTATTTCATTTATCTATTAAGTCACACTGAATTCAGTGGGGCTTTTGCTTCTGAATAGGTGGGCATAGGGATGCTCTGAAAAAGATCAGAGTGCAAAGATTGTCTCCATTTAGCAAGACGATCTGCCATGAGCCAGCCATCTAGGATCCTAATCAAACCAAAGATGTCAATTCTTGAGGCTATAGTGGCAGTGATTTTACAGCAGGTGTGTATGTAATAAAAACAGCCATGTCTTATTCTATAGGATGATTTTACACCACAAATTTACTTCACTGTATATGAGCAGCTACTGTGATGCCTTGGGAAGATAATAAATGACTGTCAATGCATTTTTTTCCCTATTCTGATTTAAAGGAGTGCAAATAGAACTGTTTCTTATTACTAGTTTTAGCATTGGTGCTTCTGTATTATTATAGAATAACTCAAGGTATGGATTGGGAGGGTGGTTGGATTGTTGGGATTTGCTTTGGTTCAGCTATGGCGTGGTTTATTTTGGTGGCTGCTTAGAAGCCTATGGTAGGGGAAAGGGGTAAAAGGGTCTCAGTTCGGGCTGTATTCTGGTTCAATGGGGCTGTACCCCCATTAATTCTCTTTAGATTTAGAAATGGAATTTTAGTGGTTAGTTCATGTTGAACTTAAACTCTTTTGTTGAGCAGCCAGCTATCACCAAACTCGATTGGTTTTTTATCCCTCTTTCTAGGCCTTCCCACCCTTTTGCCTCAGGGACGGGTGCACTCTGATTTAGTGCTGCCTAAAAATAGCTCATTTGGTTTCGGGAGGTCAGGCTAAAGGTTCTCATTGTCCGATAGTGTTTTGCTAGACCATGATGCAGGAGGTACAGCGGTTAATCTTTGCTATGTGTTGCTTAAAGTTTTTCATTATTCTTTCATTGCTCCCTTGCGGTACTTATAAGGCTGGGTGGTGGTGTTTAAACTCATTTACTTTACTAACCTAGGTAAATGGTTTGGTTTAATGTATAGTTAAGTGATTTTGTAGGGGTTTAGTCGGCTTATTTGGGGGCTCAAAAAAGTCGTGGTTGTGCGACATCTCCTAGTTGTAAGCTGGGTGCTTTAAATAGGCTACTTTTTGTTAGTCCAAGCACACCTTTTGGTACACTTACCATGTTACAACTTACCTCCTCTGTTTTACTACTTTTAGTTTATAAAGGTTGAATTTGGTTGTTGAGGAGGGTGAGGGGTGGTGTGCGTGCATCCCAGAGCATTGTTAAAAGAGATACTCTTTATCTATTTTACTACTAAATTTGCCTTCATGCAGGGTTTCATAGTGCTTTTCATGTTTTTTATAATTAAAAATGTAGCCAATCTCTTCCCTCACATTTGCTACACCTTGACCTGAGGTATTAGCAGTGGGGCTATCGTGTCTACTATTGTGCCCTTATGGGGTAGACTGTCGATGGCAGTATATAGGCTAATGTGGTGCTAGTGGGGGCTGGGTGGAACGGGGGGTATTGATTATAGGACGCTCTCCTCTAGGTCGATATGGGACACCCTTTGAGTTTAAAGTTTTTCACTTGTAGTTCTCTGGTGGAAAGCATTGTATTATGGCTCATCGATGGAAACCCAGCCAGATGGGCGGGGTATAAATAAATTATTGTTATTGTTATTGTTTGTTGTTGTTGTTATTATTATTATTATGAATGTAAGTATGGAGGGTAGTGATTAGTGGATATTCATGAGTGTTTACAATAATGCATGAGATAGATATAACATTCTTAAATCAAATAAATAGGTTGATAATACGTAATTAATAGTCGTATGGTATCTAATATGATGTACAATAAACAGTTGTGTATTATGTAAAATTTATAGATACCAGTTATTAGAGAATGAGCTCTGTTGGACAAATTGTTGGGCCTTTTCCCATCAAGGATGTGGAACAATAGGCCAAGGGGAGCTTTCTGTTCATAAGTTTTGACTGATTCTGGAAGCTGGAAACACAGAAGGCTGTTTTGCTCTATGCTAGACCCAATGCTGTATAATGTCAGCATTGGATGGAAGAGCACACATCATTAATAGACTCTAACAGATCTTGCCTCCACATCAGGTTTCCAGGGAAGCCTCAAGGCATAGCTGGAAGGTACCCACAAATATCATTCAGACTGACACTGCAAACCTGTAATAACAGTAGCAGTGTGGAAGTACAGACTGTCTCCTCTAAAGAAGGAAGAAATGGCAGATTCCAAGAAGGGCAAGCAATATGATTTGGGTACAAAGAGCAGTTCTGTGGCTCATGGGTGATGTGCCGGTGACGCCAAACACTCCAGTCTAGTCACTGCTTTTTCTCATTGAGTCAGAAAGCTGAGGAAAGTGCATCAAAACCATGATTCCATTAGAGCTGAGAGTCTGTTCCTGGAAAACTGAAATGTATGCAATTACCTTCCTTCCCTGCTGCAAAATTCTCCTAATGAGACCTGCATACACAGAGCGGAAGAAGAGCAGTCCCACAAGCAATGTTTGTAAAGACAAGTAAACAGACCTTTTCTCCCTTTCCATTTCAACACATCTGTCTCTGATCAAGGTCTATTTTTCATCTGTATGCCACGCCGACTCCCATTCCCCTGTCAAGTGTCAAGTACAAGTAAAATTGTGTTAGTCCAGTGTCAGTGTGCTGGAATTATGGTTGCTGTACAGCTATCAGTATACTGAAATCTATACACACACTTCACAATGGAACATTTGGTATCTTTTCAGCTTAGCAAATGATAGCAAAGGGACTGATGAGCCAAGCTTTATATAAGATTATTAGCTAAGAAGATTAAAGATAAGTAATTAATGTGCTTAATGCATTTGCAATATGAAAGTTGGAGCACTCTGAGGGGATGGGTGTGGAGTGGGTTAACGGACCTAACTGAGAAACAAGCATTCAAGAGAAGAAGGAAAAGTCAAGAGGGAAAGCCTGCCTCAAACTAAGGCAGCAGGTGAAGCTCAACATACCAGGGGGTGGAAAATAGTGTTAACACCGGCTAGCTCAGTCGGTAGAGCATGAGACTCTTAATCTCAGGGTTGTGGGTTCCAGCCCCATGTTGGGTGTGAGATTTTTAAAGGGTCATGGGTGGCGCTGTGGTCTAAACCACTGAGCCTCTTGGGCTTGCTGATCAGAAGGTTGGCGGTTCAAATCCCGTTGCTCTGTCCCAGCTCCTGCCAACCTAGCAGTTCGAAAGCATACCAGTGTGAGTAGATAAATAGGTACCACTGCGGTGGGAAGGTAAACAGTGTTTCCATGCGCTCTGGTTTCCATCACGGTGTTCCGTTGCACCAGAAGTGGTTTAGTCATGCTGGCCACATGACCTGGAAAGCTGTCTGTGGACAAACGCCGGCTCCCTTGGCCTGAAAGCAAGATAAGCACTGCAACCCTATAGTCACCTTTGACTGGACTTAACTGTCCAGGGGTCCTTTACCTTTACCTTTACTGGTAGCAGAGCATGTGGGAAGCTGAAGTAGGAAGTCCAGAAGGATTAGGATTGCATACGACATCGGAGCAGTTTCATAGGGGGAATGTTTGATGGACTGACTTGAGAGCAAACCAGAATCAAAACTGAAAATTCCACCTGGAAGGGAGTTAGAACAAGCATGAAAACAGCAGGGGAAAGAAGTGGATATGGGGAGAGAGGCGGGGAGGGAGAACAGGCACACAGAGAAACTTGGAGCACCTTAAGGAGTCACAAGCAAGGCCAGAGTCTGTTGCCTAGGCAAAGATCTGGAAATATTTGTAGCCAGGTCACATGGAACTAATGGCCTGCTTATGTATGTTGCAGTCATGCCAGGATTTGGAAGAACAAAACTGCCTCTTTTTTATCACTTTTACCACCTTATATGGACAATAATTCTTTTTCTCACAATCCTTGCTTGACAGGCCTGTCCTCCCTTAAAAGACATACCACCAAAATCTAAAATGACTCCTCCACAGTAATAAAAGGCCACCCAATAGAGATACTGAGTATTTCATACCTAAATATGTTGCTTTGTTGTTGTTGTTGTTTAGTCGTTTAGTCGTGTCCGACTCTTCGTGACCCCATGGACCAGAGCACGCCAGGCACCTCTGTCCTCCACTACCTCCCACAGTTTGGTCAAACTCATGCTGGTAACCTCGAAAACACTATCCAACCATCTCGTCCTCTGTCGTCCCCTTCTCCTTGTGCCCTCCATCTTTCCCAACATCAGTGTCTTCTCCAGGGGGTCTTCTCTTCTCATGAGGTGGCCAAAGTACTGGAGCCTCAGCTTCACGATCTGTCCTTCCAGTGAGCACTCAGGGCTGATTTCCTTAAGAATGGATGCGTTTGATCTTCTTGCAGTCCATGGGACTATCAAGAGTCTTCTCCAGCACCATAATTCAAAAGCATCAATTCTTCGGCGATCAGCCTTCTTTATGGTCCAGCTCTCACTTCCATACATCACTACTGGGAAAACCATGGCTTTAACTATGCGGACCTTTGTTGGCACGGTGACGTCTCTACTTCTCAAGATGCTGTCTAGGCCTGTCATTGCCCTTCTCCCAAGAAGCAGGCGTCTTTTAATTTCGTGGCTGCTGTCACCATCTGCAGTGATCATGGAGCCCAAGAAAGTAAAATCTCTCACTGCCTCCATTTCTTCCCCTTCTATTTGCCAGGAGGTGATGGGACCAGTGGCCATGATCTTCGTTTTTTTGATGTTGAGCTTCAGACCATATTTTGTGCTCTCCTCTTTCACCCTCATTAAAAGGTTCTTTAATTCCTCCTCACTTTCTGCCATCAAGGTTGTGTCATCTGCATATCTGAGGTTGTTGATATTTCTTCCGGCAATCTTAATTCCAGCTTCGGATTCATCCAGCCCAGCCTTTCGCATGATGTATTCTGCATACAAATTAAATAAGCAGGGAGACAAAATACAGCCTTGTCGTTGCTAGAGTATGCTAAAAGTCCAACTTCCAGTTTGCCTAGATGCAACCAATCACCTGGATCCCATAACTTCCAAGTGTGAAGTTCACAATTCCTTTGAAGGCACCACGGGCTCTGCTTTTGTCCTGGGACACACCGATTTGGCACAGCCTGCAGATGGGGGCTGCAGAATCAGCTCCTGCGGTGGCAGCAGGATTGAGGAGGCATAAGAGCTCCTGCCCTTCCCCACCAATATGACACCATTCTTCTCTACTACAGCTCCATCAGCTCACGGGAGAGTGAGGCCCACTGTTGGCGCTTGCACACACTCCCAGGATGCTCTAAGGAGGCCTCAGGTTGCCATGGCGCAACCTGGGTGGGGGGCATGGTGCATTGTGCATGTCCTGATTTGCCCTTCAGAGATGTTGGAGGTCATGGGATCCATTTCACTCTGGCCACCAGAGTTTTGGTACTGAAATTACTCAACTGCCCTAGTGCTGGGATCACCAGTGTGGCACCCTTGAGGACTTCCTCTGGCATTCATGAAGCCCAAGGGCCCACCAAACACACCCACCGTTCCCTTTGCCATGAGGTGGGCGAGAGTGGCTGCCCCCTGCAGGGCTGGATTTAGATTTGATGAGGCCCTAAACTACTGAAGTCATGCTGGCCACATGACCCGGAAGCTGTACGCCGGCTCCCTCGGCCAATAAAGCGAGATGAGCGCCACAACCCCAGAGTCGTCCGTGACTGGACCTAATGGTCAGGGGTCCCTTTACCTTTAAACTACTGAAGGTAATGGGACCCTTTATATGTCCCGCTGTCCTTTGTCAGCAACAAATTGTCGGTGTTTTTTGTGCTGAATATATGCTATATGGTAATTTATGGACCTAATAAGTATCTAAAGCCATTTGCACATAACAAAATAGAAGCCTACACAACACAAAACACTGTTGCTGTATGTAGGTTTTATTTTATTTGTTTTTTATCTTATATTTTGGAAATGTACATACAGTGGGTTTTTCCTTTAATTTTTTTTGGGGGGGGCACCTAAGCTATAGCCTGTTTAGCTTTTATGTAAATCTGGCACTGGCCCCCTGTGAAGTGCAGATGGAGGTAAAAGAGGAAGTACAGAAGATTGACACTCGTTCCTACTTCTTATTTCAACTCTATATACTTTTCAAGGTTTGGCTCCCCACTCAAGCTGCTGATGTGAGATTTCCAAAGAATATAAAGGTGAAATAGGAAGTGGGGAAAGTATTGCTCTTTCACCTTTCTCTGCTCTTGAAGGATTAGACTGGCACATGAGAAAATAAACAGAAAGTGTAATTTCCAGGGTTTTATATAACTTACATACCAAAATGGCTTCTAAGCAGTTTACAACTATAACATCAATCCATAATTAAAACCCACAGTATCATTAAAACATCCTTAATTAAAATGTACAATAAGACAGTATACAGGAAGAAGCTGAACAACCCACAATGCTGTCAGCATCCCCAAAGATGTCTTTTCCTAGAAGAGAGTTGATCAAATAAACCCTGGGCTGGGGCCAGCTTGTCTGGGACAACAGGAGATCAGTCTCAGAACTGGAATGGCTTGCCATTGCCGATACCAAAAAAAGAGAGTGAAGTGCCATCTGTGCGAGTGATGCAGTTACAAAACATCACAGCAACAGTGTGCTTAATGTAACTGTTTTGCCTGTTCTGCTCCTGGAATTGTGAATTATGGTGATTGTGCCTAGGCTGCTTGATTTGCAAAAAGAGGGAGAGGGAGAAAACAACCTGTGCAGGCCATAGCTTATAAATTACTACAATGAGATTTGCTCCAACAAAATTTTATCTTGTTATTTTTACAGGAGCTTTTCATTTTCTAAAACATGTTCTCCATTGAGGAAACTTTCACAGCAGCTTACTATTTTACAAAACTTGCTTCACGGATAGATAATAAGGATTTCCAATATTTATCTGCCTTGCATTATTTGCTTCTTCGGTTATACATCTGCAAATATATTTATACATAACAGCTCCCATCAATTACCGGTTTTCCTCTCTGATAAACCCCTAGCCTTATTGCTGACCCAATCAGGTAGACTATATAAACATGTAGTCAAAGTGCTCAGATTAAATTAATTAAAGTTGATACAAACCTCTTTTTATTCTCCTTCATACAAACAACACTAGCATTCAAATTATATTACACAGGATTAATACAAACCTTTTTCTGTTGGTGACTGATGTATCCTCCCCACTGGTGCCCAAATCACTCCGACTAAGTTTGATGCTATGACCCTTAATATTAAAGTTCTTCCCTACTCTTGTATAGGTATAGTGTAATCACAGTCACATGCTAGCAGTTAGGCTTATTGAATTCAGGCTCCCAAATTCCCAAATCTTTCTTAAAGTCACTACAGTCTCACTGGGCAATTTTGCAAGAAACACAAGAGGTCCATTGAAGTGTTCAATTCATGTGGCACTTGGGTTCAAAGTTTACAGGTGAATATTTCCTCAACAAGATCCAGTCAAGGTCCATTTTACTATAGGAATGTTCTTACACCTCAGAAAATTCTCACAGATGTGATAATCAGACAAATAAGCTGCATATAAACTGTTATATTTTATGTATGTTAATGACACATTTTTGGTGTGTTTAAAAACCAGTGGGATCAGTTAGATTTTTAATTTTTATTTATTTATTAAATTTGTATTCTGCCCTTCATCTGAAGATATCAGGGTGGTTCACAGCATAAAAATACAAGACAAAAACACAAAATACATAATAAAAACAAGAACAAAAATAAACCAAACCAATAACCCCCTCTCCCACAAATACATTTAAAAGCATATAGGATGCTAATCAGTCAAAGTAATGTTTTTGCCTGGTGCCTAAAGGTGTATAATGATCACATATTGTTTGTGTAGGTTTTTGTCCTTTACATCGGGGTATTGTGGACCCCAACAACTCAATATTGTTATATTGAGACCCCTTTTCTAGTAAAGACATCGTTTTCTAGCCTGCTAATGGTGTTGTGCTTAATTACTTCCGCCAGGTATTTTATTTGTATGGATTTCTTGGGGTACATTTGAACTGGAGTCAAATGACAATGGATTGGTACAGCCATGTTGTTTTTAATCAACTGAGATTAAATCTTGCCCTTTCAAATTAATCAGACTGATAAGAGTTTTAAGTTAGGCCGAGTTGGGCCCAATATTTTATACAAAATTTAATCTCCTAGAGCTAGTTATAAAACTTTCCCACTGACATTTTTTCCCCTCTTCAAATTAATAAATGCACAGGAGACAGAACTGCCTGCCTACTTCAGTTGTCATTATGAATGGGGCTTGGCAGCAGCAAGGCATATTAAAATCTCAGATGTATTTTTCTTGGTGCTTTTAAAGGGACCAGCCCTTCTAGAATATATCTTTTTTTTAAAAAAACCTTCCAAAGACAGAGCCTCGGGATAAAATCTTCCTCGTCATATGTTTTAGACTATGCAGTGAAGACAGTTTCATGTCACTGCATTATCAGATCTGAGAACTCTATTTGCATAATTAAACATCCATCCACTTCTTATATCTGCCATCCCTTTCTATGAAAGATGCTAATTCTACCTCCGCTTTGTGCACTGTATTCATTTCCTGCCAACAGAAAATGTAACGCTAACTGGCCTCCTGGAATTGTATTTATTTAGCTAGCGATAGAAAATGCAGAGGTAAATGGACGCTCACTATAGGGTACAGCAGGGGTGGGGGACTTATGACACTCCAGATGTTGCAGGAGTACAACTACCATCATCCCTGAACACTACCTATGGTGGCAGTGACTAAGGGTGGGGAAGAAATACTGTGCAATGTGCATTTAAAGGTGATTCTAGTGCACAATTTTAAAACAAAGTGCAAACTGAAAAGCAGCCGTCCTTTGAAACTGGCACTTCCCTGAATTTTTCAATGCCATTCTGCATCCAAGTGAAGCATACAAAATGTGCATTAAATTGCATATGTTCAAGAAAATAACATAGAAAAATGCGTAGGGAAAGCTGCATACAAAAATGTGCATATTAGGGGAAATTGCACTAAAATGCTGAAGAATTTGTATGAGGACTCCCCCCACCACTAATGTGGAAAACTGAATTTAAGCTTGAAAAAATG